TTCTGCAGAACCGGCGATGAATCGCTTAAGTCCTGTCCACGCTTCCTCGCTAAAATTACATTCCACATGCAACAGCACCACAGACTCAAGGGTGCACGGCAACTCCCCCGCATACACTGCGATGTCCTGGTTTGAGGCTGCCAGTTGGGAGTTTCCGGAAAGAGGGAGTACCTTATGTGGGGTCCTTAGAATCAGGATCCTACTATTTAGTGTACCATATTAGGATCCCGGATCCCTTGTTTTCGGAAACCTCCGGTTCAAGGACCGTCGCCCGGAGGTGCCTTGACGTTCAGCATCGCGCTGAAGAGGTCGTCGTCTGAGATCTGCCACACCTGCATGCAGGTGTGTGCCGGGCTTCTTGCTTCTATCATCACATACATACATACGTACGTGCGTACGTATGCTACATACATGCATACGTACGTATATATTGATAATACATGCATAGGAACAATGGATAGGCATATACAGGAAAAATACACGTATACTATACATACATACATCTTACATACTCCTGTTACTTATACAGTCTATGCAGTCTAGATCAAGTCGCAGAATGCCGACCAAGGTGAAGTCTAGTGTACCTGGCCAAGTTTCGCGCAATGCTTTCAGGACGATGCCCTCCTTCCTTCCTTGCTTCCTTCTTCCTGTGCCTATTTAAACCGTAGTGCAGCATACCCATAGACCCATAGGTTTTTTGGGGGGTTCATATGTAGAATTCTATAAGGTAATCCCAAAAAGGAACTACTATGGGGCCTACTATGGGTCAGCCTGCGGCCAACATCCTGAAGGAAGAAGGCAAGTAAGAAGCCCTAACAATAACACTGAGCGCCTTAGCGTCAAAGAGCAGGTCCATCATCTTCTCGATGTCCTGTCCAAGCCTTGCGAGAGCAGATGCAACGCAGCCGGCGCGGAATCGAGCTTGTTTCCGCTTGGCCGGACCACTAGACATAGCTAGTGTCAACTAGAAACCGTAAGCTTCAAAACATTCAACGCGGCCTTCCATCTGAATCTACTCACCGTGCGGAGACGGAACAGCGAATCTCCTGTACTAAGCAACCGGCATCCTCTTCTCCAAGGAAGCGAAGATGGCAACAGCCAGCTTTATGAACACCTGCAAACGGCTCGGCTTCACAAACCATAACATCGGTAGAAGGAGCAGGGATGGAGCAAACGTAGTAAAGGAGTGCTGGCCGAAAAGAGCCATCATGGCATAAAAAAACACTTAGATTATTGATCCGTGTATGTTATTTTCTATGCCGGGCGAAAAGACACTGCCCGGTACTGCCAGTTAGAAACTGGCAGTAACATGAGCGCAAGTACCAGTACACGTTGCTGGTATACAGCCTGACTCCAATGCGAGTCCCTTTCCATGCTAAGTACCCGTGAGAGTATAGCTGGAACATTGCTCTGAAGAACACAATATATTACTTAGCTTGCTGATGTCTTGCAGCAAGAACATTGGCTACAGCAGCGACTGCGACGTCGACGACTACCACTACTACTACTACTACTACTACTACTACTACTACTCAAACTACTACTCAAACTACTACTCAAACTACTACTCAAACTACTACTCAAACTACTACTACTACTACTACTACTACTACTACTACTACTACTCCTCCTACTACTACTACTACTACTACTTCACTACTACTACTACTACTACTACTACTACTACTACTACTACTACTACTACTACTACTACTACTACTACTACTACCACGACGACGACGACGACTACTACTACCTCGACTGCTACTACTCCTACTGCTTCTACTTCAACTACTTCGTCTGCTACCAGTACTACTTCGTGTCGTAGACCCACGCAGGGTAAGAGCACCTAGCAAACGCCAGAACTACTCCAAGAGAATCCCGAAGCACCCAAGACGAAACCCTGAACTCTAAACCCCTATACCCCTGAACCCTTAACCCTTAACCCTAAACCCCTGAACCCTAAACCCTAAACCGACGACTCCATGAGCCCAAAAGTGCGGCGGGGCAATAGCAGCAGCAAAGCAAAGCAGCAGCAGCAGCGAGAGCAACGAGCAGTAAAGCAGCAACAACTGTAATTAAGTGCAACCGCAGCAACAGCAAAAGAGTAGGACAAGTAGAGACAAATTTCACGGCAACAACATCAGAACAACGGCAACACCAGCAGCACCAGCAGCATCAGCAGCAGCAGCAGCGGGAGGACGAGCAGCAGCAACAGCATCAACAACAACTGCAACAACAACAGCAACTCCAACAGCAGGAAGATCAGCAAGAGGAGCAAGAAGCGCCAGAATAACAAGTAAAACAACAATAGCAACCAGAGCAACAGCAGCGACAGCAGCAACACCAACAAAGACAACAGCAACATTACCACCATTACCACCACCAACGACAACAATAACCACCCCAACAACGACAGCGACACCGACAGAGACAACGACGACGGCTACAAGGACAATCACGACAAAGCAGCAACAAAGGGTATAGCTAGGTTTACAATCTTCGAAGGCCTTGAAAGAGCGCTCGAAGATGAAGTGATCCTTCAAGCGAGCATGCTTTAGGTTTTGGAGCCTGACCTTGAACCAGCAGGACATTATTGGAGACTTTGCAAGCAAGAGATCCTTCGTGGAGTTGCATGCAGGTAGTCCAATTTGTTGAGGTTCTGGCAGTTATGCTTCATGCTCAGCTTTGTCGCGCGAGGTTCAGGGACACCGTATGTCAACATGTCGAGATTCATTTTGGGTAGTATGCTTCTCTGTCGGCCAGCGAAATCGGGACCGACATGCCACCGAATCGATCGTCCAAAGCACAAGCCTCCCATACTGGGATCTCAAAGCTTCTGCCCGTGGCCGTGATTAAGGGACACATGGCTCAATTCTGCAACTCTGAAAGACCCAGACTAACTTGATTCAACCTTTAACTGCTCCATCAGAAGCCTATGCCATGCCCCGCAGGGCAAATCCAGAAAGCACTGAACGGCGCCGTGGATGATGGCAGTTAGAATCCCCCATGCAAAACCTATCAAGACAGAACCTTCAAACGAGACTTCTAAACCCGACACGCTACAGCCGAAATCCCCAATCAAACCCGTAAGGAGTCCCTCGAGTATCCGTGTACAATAGCTTATATCTCAACATGAACCCATCAAGTCCCTATGTTCAAGATCATAAAACTAGTTTGGAGGCTACTCTGAACCGGTTGCCGAGTAACCCAAATCCGCAGCTGCAGCTCGGGACTGAGACATGACTGAAAAAGACCTGGGTGTTGCGTGTCGCATTTGTACATCATCATACATGTATACATATAACATATAATCTGTATGTGTATGTATATGTGTATATATAGTTATATAGTATAGATTGCACGTTCTGGGCCTCAAAATACATTCTGTATACTCGGCGTTATCTACTCTGTGCATTTCCAGATATCTTCCTATGTGCATATACTTATGTATACATATATAGCAGCTGCAACAAATCTACATATATATATGTGCTTATATATCAAAAAATGAACGTGTAGTATCTTAATATACGCACGTATACGGCTTATGTATGTATGTATGTATGTATGTATGTATGCATGTATGTATGTGAAGATACATACGTACACATACCCACATACATACGTACATACGTACGTACATACATACATAGATACATCCAAATATACACACACATGCACATGCACATGCGCATATGCATACGCCTATGCACACGGATACCATACACATACGCATACGCACACACAGGCACATACACATGCACATGCACACGCATATGCACTTTCACATACGTATATGCACACACACACATACACATACACATACACATACATACACATCATAGACATAGACATAGACATACACATACAAATACACATACACATACACACGCACATACACATGCGCATACACATGAACATGCACATGCACCTGCACATACAGATGCACATGCACATCCACACATTCATTCAACCATATGCCTGAAACGAAGACATATGTGCATATGCATATAAAGCTGTGTATAGTGCATACATAGCTTAAGTACAACGTACATCGTTGCAAAGCTTTAAAGGCCTTGTGGGGACGGGGGGGTCTGGGGCTCTGGTTTAGTCACCTTCGTTGTAAGCAGCAGGAGCAGGAGCGGTGGCAGCAGCAGCAGCAGCAGCAGGAGTAGCAATTCGTAGTAGTAGTAGTAGTAGTAGTAGTAGTAGTAGTAGTAGTAGTAGTAGTAGTAGTAGTAGTAGTATCAGTAGTAGGAGTGGGAGTAGTAGGAGTAGTAGGAGTAGTAGTAGGAGTAGTAGTAGGAGTAGTAGTAGTAGTAGTAGTTGTTGTAGTTGTAGTAGCAGTAGTAGTAGGAGGAGTAGGAGTGGCAGTAGGTGCAGGAGTAGGAGTAGTAGTGCGAGTGCTGAAGGATGTACAAAAGTATACAACCCCTGCAAAACACTAGAGATACGAAACTCCAGACATGGGGCAAAGTACAAGCCCGCCGTAACAGAAGCTCATGCTGCACATCTGCCCGGTGCCACCCAGCAGTAGCAGCAGTAGCAGAAAGCAGTAGAGCAGCCCTGTCGGAGATGCTTCCCGGCAGCTAGCTGCTAACAGATAACCTCAACAGCAGAGAGTACTGGATGCCCACTACAAGAACGTATGTAGCGATACATACGGATGGGTACTTTTGGCCACCGTTGCGTGGCAGTCTGTAAACCCCGTCCGCCCTGAACATCGCACGACGCACTCTAAACCCTAAACCCCGACCCCCAAATCCTCAACACTAAATCCTAAACTCCTCAACCCTTACCCCTAAACCCTAAATCCTAAACCCTAATCCTAAGAATCCCCTAAACCCTACATCCTGAACCCTAATCCCTACCATAAACCCTACATCCTGAACCCTTATCCTAAGAATCCCCTAAACCCTAAATCCTAAACTACTCAACCCTAACCCCTAAACCCTAATCCTAAAAATCCCCTCAACTCCCTGGCCAGAGGCATGCACCCTGAAGCCAGCGGCAGAAGAAGAGCTCCGGAGCGAGGCCTTCACCCATGAGATGCCGGAACCTGGCTTGTAAGGTTGCGGGTTTGGGGTTTAGGGCTCGAGTACGAGGGCCAGCCAACTGTTTTAGCAGCAGAAGCGAAAGCGAATAAGATCTAACTTGGTACACTTCTCGATTTAAAAAACGTCTTCTGTACGTGCCTGACTGTCTTCCTTGCTGCAGGGGCCATGCACCTGCGGAGTCAAGCGTGTCATCCTTGCAGCAGGGGCAGGGACATACACATCTGCGCTCCCCCTTTTGGCGTTCGCCAAAACACCACCAAACCCCAACAACCCAACCACACTTAAGCAGCTGAAGTCCAAAGGGCCCTCGGAAAAGGGTGGAGAGAAGTCCAAGTGGAGGAGTGCAAAGGAGTGTAGCCCAAGTAAGGCTCAAGACGCTCCTCAGTTTCTGAGGAAAAGGACTGTGGTTGCACAACAAACGGCGCAAGGCTTCACAGTGCTTGCAAAAGATGGGACATGTAATCCCCTGCACGGTTTTGCAGAAGCACGGCTCTTCACCAATCTGCAAGCTACACAACCTGAGAACCTGACCCAAACCGGACTTACAACCGGAAGCTAAGAAAATCGTCAAAAATCCAAAGATGAGCCGATACTGTACTCCAAGGGTCAGAAAGGATTAGCATGTCTCAAGCAGATATCCGCGAGACTGGCACGCCTAACAAACTAAGACCCACAAGCCACACCTTTAAGGACGTATGACAAAACGACCCCTAAAAACCACGCCTAGAGCACCTTACTTCAATCCACCTCAGGGACTCCATCCTGGTGCATGCGCTCGAGGCGAAAGCCCTCGTTCGTGTAAAAGATATGTTGTTGAGCATCTGACAACTGTTCAAGTGGCACTTCAATGCCATTCCTAATCAGAAACGCTGCAGCTGAAGCGATAGCATGATTTATTTCTTCATCAGCCTCTTCAATCTCACTGTCAGTCGCAAGCGGAGGAAATCTTGTTGATCTTAAGACCGCAACGTCATCAACATACCTCACCACAGCATCAGAGGAGCTAGCAGCCTCATTGGTACCTGCAGCCCAGGGTGTTAGAGTTGGCAAGTCAGGATAGAGACCTGCCTCACGCATCTCTTCATACTGGCGGTACAGCTGTTCGGGTCCAGGGACTACATCGATTCCATGCCTATTGATCTGGTCACGGTGGGGGTAAGTAGGGTCATACCTAGCCCTATACTCAGCAGCAGGAACTATCCCAACCCCTTGAACCCAGTGCGGAGGAGTTCCAGATGACGAGCTGGAGTCTGATCTCGTTGCCATATACAGCTCGAAATCTCGCCGCGCTCCGCGGTCATAATACTCAGCTGACCGACCAGACTGTATCGAAGAAGACTCTGCATCACTACGCGGGGATTGAGGTTCCGGCTCGTAGGGAAGGGCCTCAGGAACAACTACTACAGGATGATTTCTCGGGGCCTCGGGTGGAAGCTCGAGTGCGACAGTTCCTTGCATGTCAACAACCAGGCTGCTTCTTAACACGCGATCAATGAAGTTTTCCCAGCTATTAGGGTCCCCAAGATCAAAAAAGTTAGGAATTTCAATCCGGTTGGTGTTCCTTCGCAGCGGGGGAGGTTCAACCGTGGGGCTACGTTGCTCTGGTGCTCCAGGCAGGAGGGCCCACGGAGAAAACTGCACGTCTGGGCCTGCACCAGTGCTAACTCGCCTTGGCCTGGCACCTCTGCCACGGCAACGCAGTCCATCATCGTAGTCAGCAATGACTATAGGCTGCGGGATTTGCTCGGAAAGCGGAATGGGTTCAAGCTCTGGCTGCTCAAGGCCATCTTCGACTGGCTCAGTGCGTCGTGTGCTAAAGAACCTTCCCACAGCACAAAGCAGAAAAATCCCTATTGCAACCACAAGAACCGGAACTATTGAAAGCCACCAGCTGCTCCAGTCATCCTGCGTCGATCCTTCAACTCCTCCCTTGCCCTGAGCCTGAACAGGCAGCGAACCGACAACAAGCAGCGCCAACGCCTGCCTCAAAAGGTTTAGTTTCGCAACAGGGGCCTTAACCTTTGGCACATCGTACCCGCACAAAAGCAAGAGGTCTCTGACACGAGTCCAAGGCAGCACTTTCGTGGCAATATCTGCCAGCATGTGTTCTCCTTTTAAGTGCGACAGGTGCCACTTTCCAGACTGGAGCCTTTCCCGGAGGGCTTGAGACCGAACCCGCAGGTGGCGCGTGCGCCAATTGCCACTTTCAAAAGAAGCGATTGAGATGGATGCAAGGTTATCGCAGAAAGCCTGACACGCTGGAAACTGCTGAACCTCTGGGTGAAGCTCATGCACCAGCCCTTCAAGGGACTCCGTCAACGCTACACCCTCAAGAACCCCTAACAGCTCACACTCAGCAGTAGAGAGAGCTGTGAAGGGCTGCTTACCTGCACCCCAGAAGACTAGATTGCGACCGACCTGAACCAGGCCAGCTTCAAAGCTTCTGTCACCAGCTGGAGCGAAACTAGCATCAGTGAAAGATTCAAGCAGGTAAGGAAGAGCCGTGACGCGACGCTCATTATGCATGCCATGGGGAGGCTGATCTGCGGCGCACTGGTACTTCAGAGCGACCCGCTTGGTGCCTTTAAGATAGCAAAGGATATGCAGACCGAGCTTGAAAGCAAGCTCCGGACATCGACTCACCAATGATGTTACCCTCGCAACCCCATAGACAATGTCTACTCTTGTCTTTCCAGACACCCAAAGAAGCTCACCCGCAAGTGCCTGGGCCTTTCTCAAAGCAACAGGGGAAGAAGGTTCTGGCTCTTCTGGGTCCTGAACCTTTACAAACGGGCACGAAGTCTCTACCAGTGGAGCCCCAAGACTCTCTTCGTAGCGCTTTACAACATCTTCTATATACGATGCTTGGTGGACTAAGAGCGCACGGCCTTGTCTCTCTATTTCAACACCACAAAAGCGCACAGGATTCTTAGAGCTAAGCTGGTCCGGCTCCGAGCACTGCCAGATGTTGCGAATTTCAGCGAGGACTGCGGATGCATACTTTGCAACACCTCCAATCATGAGGTCATCGACATATACGACCAGAAGGCCGACAATGCCTCCTGACGATGCCGTCAGTAGCCATGCATTTGGCTCAGAAACTAGCTGTCTCAGGCTTATTTCAATATCTCCAATCTTAACGCGAACAGTCTTTAACGTGCGGTCCCTAAGTTTCGACCAACATTTAGGAGACCGGTCAAGGCCGTACAGAGCACCTTCAACCAACCACCGCTCAGCTCTGCTGACTACTCCGGCAAGCTGAAAGATACGGGGCGGATCAAGGACGATCAGCTCCTCGGTCCCTGACTCGACCAGACTGCTATCAACACCATCGGACAACTTCGCGTTTAAGAAAGCTGTTTTGACGTCTGTCACCCAGACATCCCAGTCGGGGTGCTGGGATATGAAAGCCAACGACAATCTTAGTGCGCTCGCGTCGATTCCACCGGCATATGTGAGCATACGATGTTCATACGCGGAGCCACCAGCTGAAGGCCCGTGATTTCCACATGCGACGCACCTAGCCTTCCTTAAGCCTGACACCGCCTTGCGAGTGAAGACTCCTTTTGAGGGCAGACGCAGCACCGCACGTCCCTGGGCAAGCCATTCCGCAATTTGTTGTTCCGAAATCGGCCTTAGCACTCCTTTTACACGGAGGCTGTCATATTCGGCACTTATCGCTGGCTTCCACAAAGGAAGTTCGCGTTTGACCTGATCGAGGCTCACAGTTTTCGTTTGCAACGGTGGTGGCTCATGGTCCGGAGCATGGGCATCAGAAGCAGAGGGTGACTCCCCCAGTCCTCTAAGACGAAGCTCTTTGACTGCTAAGGGGCACTTGGACTCCCCCGGGCCCGACAGCACCTGATAATAGGCAAGGAAGTTTTCTATGCCTTCAGAGCGCGCCTCGAGGACCTCACTGACAGCACTACTTGAACCACTAGCTGCCTGCAAGCTGCGAAGATTAACCCTAGCCCTATTAAGCTCTTCGATCCCCTGCAAGACACAGGTCTCTACCGGACCGTCTATCAGTACAAAGGACTCAAGGGGGTCATCGGGAGGGGTCTCATGATCATGGCAAGGGCTTAAGCTCCGAGCCTCAACCTGAAGGGAGGACGCAGCTTCAGCAGCCTCAAACCATAACTTCGACTCAGCACTGCAGGCCGCATCCAAACCATAAGCCTCTTCGCTGAAATCAGACTCCGCCTCAACCTCATCAACCAAGAGCCCGACACCGGAGGAAGACTCTTGGGCAGGAGGAGAAGTATCAATCAACGCACTCAGCTCATGCGGTCGATTTTGATTTTGAGTTGCAAGCCCCTGTTTGGAACAAGAAGGCGAAAGATTACTGTGGGCTCCCCCCCCTGCGTCAGACGCAGGGCAGCAAGAAGGCAACGGAAAGCCGGCGCAAGTCAGCTCCGCCACAACCGGGAGAGGAGCCTTCACACATCGTTTGAGAGTGAACGCAACAAGGAGGTATTTGTCGCCAGACCACGAGTCACCGGCATGAAAGCAGTGCGGTGAGAACGAGAACGAGGCACCAACCGTATCCCACATCATTCCCGGCAGCCACCGACGCGGAGCAACCTCTCGAAATTGCAAAACCCCTGGAGCGGCAGTGCTAGCAAACTCTGAACTAACCTCGATCCAAAGCCCGCCACGCAAATGCTCGGCTCCGCCAACAACATAGTTCAAGCTATCCGGAGCATTGAAGTAGTCACGGTGGATGGGGGCGCTGCAATTCACCGACGCTACAAAAGAAGTGAATGTAGCCTGAGGGTGATAGTGCTGTAGCACTGCCAAAAGGTACCTTTGCGTGTGCGGAAGCTGACGACTAGCCGTCGTCACACCAAGCACTCCCCCGTGCGTGAACATCCCAAAGCTACGATACTGAGTCCCAGGCCCCAGGGCTGACATAAAACCCCTGCGGATTGACTTATGGGGCAAGAGGCGCAGCACCTGAGACCACGATGCATTATCATACAATCCCCGACGCAACAAGTCC